GCTGAGTCTTTGGGAAATAAACACAAGATTTGAGGACCAAAATGTCAACTCTTGTTTTTTTTGTAAGAGCAAAAGATTGGAAACTACCAGTTGCCCGTCCAGCTGGGACTGGTTAAATAAATTATGGAAATTCATTCAATGAAATACTATGCAGCCATTTAAAAATATGGAGGGGACCACAAGGTGTTGAACAAAATACATTGTATGCTACCAACTGTGGGCAAATGTGTGTGCATATGTTCATATGTGTTATTTGCTAAAGGGCTTCCAAAGTCTGCCCTTAAGGATATATAAGACACTGAAAACACTAATTACCTCTACAGAGGGAACTAAGAAGCTAGGAGAATAGGAACCTGAAAGGACTTTCCACTCTCTGTCCTTTTGTGACTTTTGAATTTTGAACTGTATAACGAGACGAGCTTGCATTGTGTGTGCACATATGTGTGTGCGTGTGTGTGTGTATGTACATCGGCGTTATCGGACTGAAAAACATCTTGGACCAAAAGTCAATGGGCTCCCCATTTCCTAATGCTTAGGTCCCCACCCTAAGTTCGGACTCCATGACCCATGTGGGAAAGGGATGAGGGAGGGGGGATCAAATCCTGACAGCACGTGAAAGACAGGAGCAACGGAGCACAAGCCACAGTCTCCGGGCAAGACAGCCACGGACACAGCACCCCTTCCCCCCCAGTCTCGACCGAGGGAAGAGAGGGATTGGGAATTTCTCCAACTGGATATCATCTCCCTACTGTGGTGGTGTCAGGAGTGGGATGACAAGCGTCCTCCCTAACAGTACAAGGAGGGTGAGCATCAGATGGGGGCATCAAAGGTGGGTCACACGGGTAAAGCAGTGGGGCTGGGGAGGTGGATGCCCAGAGGGAGGTGATTAGAGGCTACAAGGCTAAGTCGAAGGATTAGGGGTAAAAATAAGTGGTGTCAGGGTATCATGGGTCACAGACTATTCTAAGAGCCAGAAAATGAGAGGATGGCCCGGAACAGGGCCCGAATATTCTATATTGCATCCATTAGCAGGATGGAAGAGTAAGAAAGATGTAACCTCTGGTTGGCACAATTATGGAGGATGCTGACAAGACGGGTCAATGACAACCCGCCCCCGTCCCGGCCTGACTCAGTCGGGTTCTAAGGAAGCCCCTCCCTTTCCTGCTCCCTCCCGCCCCCACTGCACTAAGGCCCTGCAGTTCGGTGTTCCAATGTTCTGTTTTACATTTGGTTTTGTTCAGCAGCAGCGCCTGCTTAGCCAATTTCTGCTGGAGGAGCCCCCGTGCCAAGAAACGACACAAGAAGAGCAAGGCCTGGGCAGGCTCAGAAAATGCCAGAGATGTTGCCACCAAGCCTCCTCCACCCAGGCTGCCAGGAGAGCTTTGCAAATGGAATCAATCTGAATGGAGCTGATGGGAAACATCTGAATGGAGGCAGCCAGTACAAACAGAAACTGCTGAGTTTCCCACTGCAGTAGCCTGGCTTCTCCTCCTATTCGCTGGCTTCTCTGTCACAGGGAGGACACACGCTGCTTCTTGGAAAAGCCTCCGGACCAAGATGGTTAACCTTGACCTCACAGACCCCGCTGGCCCTCGAGGCCACCCAGCGCACCCTTTGCCCCTTTGCCTCCGTCGCTCACTAGGTTTGATACGTTTTTATAAAGGGCAGGTGGGAGGTCGATTTGCTCACAGTAGGCCGCTTTCTTTTCCCTGGAACCCGAAAAGATCAGAAAACCTCACCCACTAAGCCTGTATGTCCCCTGTCACCCCCAAATAAGAGGCCCAGATACCTCCCAAGCGTAGGTGAGGAATCTAGGGTGTTCCTCTATGACTCCCAAGCACCCCGATGTCCAACGAGCCGGGGCAGCATTCGCTGCAATGCATCGCAGATGAAGTTATGATAAAGGAATGTGATTATTTCCTTGGAGCTGATGGAAAAGAGTTAGGTAATAAAACCTGGACAGAGGTTGTCTAGCAAATTCCAAGGACGGATCCTAACTAATACCTGGCATTGGTTCCTAGGCTTCTGTGTCTTCAGAGCAGAAAGTCAGGACAGTCTCAAGAGGTATTAACTGTAGATAGATGCTGTTTTGGCAGGGTCCCGTTTCCTTTCCCTGATCCCGCTTTCACCACGCGGCCTCCTCAATTTTAAGTTAGAGCCGTTGGCCAGCTGCTCTCGCGGATCGTGACCACCGTACCTTAGCGTCATGCTTTTTTTTTTTAAGATTTTATTTATTTATTCATGAGAGACACAGAGAGAGGGGCACAGACACAGGCAGAGGGAGAAGCAGCTCCATGCAGGGAGCCCGATGTAGGACTCGATCCGGGGTCTCCAGGATCACGCCCTGGGGGCGCTAAACCACTGAGCCCCCCGGGCTGCCCTTAGCGTCATGCTTTATCAGTTTGGTGCTCGTAATGTTTAGCCAGCATGGATCGTGCCACTTAGAGATTTGGCAGCTGGGGAGCTTCGGTCCAGGCCCGGGACCACGGTGATTAATGGTGCCGTGATTCAGTATTTAGGAACCGTCGAGCCACCCGTCCCAAAACAATGAAACCATTGGTCCGGGAGTTGGTCTGCTTCTCAGGTTCTCGGAAGGATAAGTGAGCTCCGTGTTACTCTGAGCATAAACATTATGCTGACCTTGATCCAGGAATTTAAACAGTGTCATTTAATGTAAACATTAGCGAATACCTTCTTGCTGAAGTGGTCTGTTTTCAGGATGGGTTAGGGTTTCTTCTCTACAAAAGCACTTTGGGGCCCTGGATTTTAAACTCCCGGTCAGCTCTGCATTTCTTCTCTCACTTACTTCGCCTGGCCTCCCAAGCAGCAGCACCAGCTTCTAAGGTTGAGGGAGCCCTCTGCTGATGGCCGGGGTGTAACTTCATAGGACAAAGCGAGGCAAGCCGGGCAGTCTGAACAACCCTCGGATCCCAGAGCCGTAACTTGCCTCTAGACCCGGAGCCAGGCTTTGGCTGTCAAAAGCCAGGCTCTAGACTGTTTCTCAGACTGTGCATATTGTTTCGGGTTTTATTCTTTCTGGAAGTAGAAGACACAAGGTCTGGAAAGCGGTTCTTGTCCTACGCATCAAGAGAGCTACACGTTGCTGCGCATGTTCGCGCACGGGCACGGGCACAAGCACACACACGCATGCACACACACTGCAATGGATCCCCTCCAAGAAGGCTCTGCTCGGTGTGTGCGTGTCCTGAGTAAAGGAGTGGGAGGCGCCTGAGTATATATAGCAGCCCAGAATCATGGGGCTGGATTTAGGAACATTCGCCCTTTGTGGTGTGTCCAGATGAAGCACTCTGATGAGACCACAGCCTGGAAGAGGAATTCTTCCCAGCAGCTGTGGCCTTGAAGCTGGAGGTTAACAGCTTAACACCAGAGTGTGGTACCCGATTCCAAACTCTAAAAATTAATGGTGATAAGGGTGGGCTGCTTGCCAAGGCCTGTGGTGTGAATCCCAAGAGAAATACCTTCTATTTTGAGACCTCTCTCAACCCACGATGTGCTGTCCTGTGCTTTGATGCATGTCCCACCTCTTTGTCTATGTGCCTCTTTCTCCAACCTAAACTTTGTCGAGCTTTCAACCCACAGACAGTAGCGACCCAATGTAATTCACTGAAAAGAATAGTCATGTCAATAGTCATGTAGGCAAATACGTGGCTCAGATGCCAATCGGAAGAACCAAAGGTAGAACCCTTGCCTTGCCAAAGGCACCAGAGGAGGCAAAGGGGAAATGGCAAAGAGCAAATCAAACTAAACTTTTTTCTGGGCAAAAGGGGACAAAAGCACAGTAAGTGTCTTTTCCTTGAGAGAGCTCCCCTGGAAAGGGAAAACAAAAGTGCAACTCATGCCTCGTTAAGTTAGCGCACACCGTCCAACGGCTGGGCCTACAGCAGGAGCCATCTCTGGCAAGGGAAAGGATGCCATGCTCCTGGGGCGCCCAGGGGGCTCAGTCAGGTAAGCGGCTGCCTTCTGCTCGGGTCATGATCTCCGGGTCCTGGGATGGAGCCCAGCATCGGGCTCCCCGCTCGGCGGGGAGTCTGCTTCTCCTCCTGCCCCTCCTCACCCCTTCTCATGCTCGCTCATGGGCTCACTCCCTCTCTCTCTCTTTCTCTCAAATAAGTAAATTAAATCTTTAAAAAATAAAAAAAGATGCTAAACTCCTGCTCAAAAATCTTCTGTGACTCCCATTGCCCATATCGAATCTAAACTCTTTAAGAGGATATTTAAGTGTCTTTGCTTCTCCTGTTGCACCCTTCTCCATCCGTGTTTGCCTCAACACGTGTATGCACACCTGACTCTCACCTTAACTATTAAACTTCTCTCGCCTTATTTTTTTTATTTTATTTATTTATTCATGAGAGACACAGAGAGAGGCAGAGACACAGGCAGAGGGAGAAGCAGGCTCCTTGTGGGGAGCCCGATGCGGGACTCGATCCCAGGACCCCGGGGTCACGACCTGAGCCGAAGGCAGACGCTCAACCGCTGAGCCACCCAGGCGTCCTTCGCCTTATGTTTTTCTGCTTCCTTTTCCATCTGTCAAGGACCTGCTCCCCCTTCAAGAGGGAGCTCAGATGTTCCATCCTCGTGAAAGCTTGTCCAGCTCTCCCGGACAGAATAGCCTGCTCTCTCCCCTATGTGTGCAAAGGATTTTACTTATACTCTCCTTCCACCCTCACCGTTACCATGTTTATGTGTAGTCTTTGCCATTCAGTCCATCTACAATTTATAAACTGAGATCAAGGCCATGCATTCATTTTTGCATCCTCCCTTGAGTTGCCGCCTCCGGCATGTCACTCCCCAGCCTCACTCCTCCCATCAAGGGTCTGTCCTAGCAATTCCCACATAAGAGAGTCTCAATACATTGTTTGTATTCAATTCAATTCATAACCAAGAGGATTAGGCGAAAATACAATGACTCCAAAGACAGAAGAAAGGCAGGATCCCAACGACAGGTGGCTCATCTGGAAGCTGCTCAGGATTCTGAATTCCTCCAGTTTAAGGACACTGCCTTCTACGTGTGACAGTAGAGCACTGAGAACCATTTTTGAGCAACTGTGAATTAGGGGGGAAGAAAACAAAATCTTTTTTAAGACACTTTACAGCCATCTGTTAGAAATTTGTCATAAAAACTAGCGAAGTATGCTGCCAACAGGAGTTCAGGGCCGCCCCCTGGCGTTGGTAACCAGCCGCCCTCCGCGGGGTTAAACAGCCGCAGCTGAACACATCCAGCCAAGGCCTTGTCCTCCAGGGCGGTCATGACAGCGCCGCGTGGGCTTGGGAGTCTAACTGAGTCTGAGTTTAAATCCGGGTTAACCATCGTAACCTTGAGTTTCCAGGCCTCTAAGATGGAGCTAATGAAATCCCTCTTCATAGGGTTGCTTTAGGATTAAATGAGATTTTAAATATCAAATACTTTAATGACTCACAACAAGTGCTCAGTAAGTGGAAGCTATTATTATTATTACAGTAATGATTCTATAATTTAATACATTCCTGACTGTTCTCTTTTAAAATTACCTTCAATGCCCCTCTATCAGCCACACACAAAAATCATGGATTTCTCCACCCTGGTTTGTGGCATTCCTTATTTTAAGTGAGAACATATCACGATATTCGAGTATGCAGTTTATTAATCCGATTTATCTAAAAATTCTATTTAGAGGTTTACAAAAGCCAAAGCCACCTATTTAAAGCAAAGGTTTTGCACCACTGACAACATTCTGCAGGTACTTAGGGAATTTCAAAGGCATTGCTCAAAATCTAAATTTTGTATAAAAAGCACTCGCGTCTGATACAAACACCCCAGACATTCTGACGAGATCTCATAAAAGGTTAGACACACTCCTCCTTACTTAATCAAATCATCAAGTACTTACTTAATATGAACATAATGGCTATTATGGGATGACAATCATAAAAAATCAGGTCTTCTGAGTTCATAACATAGAATCCCAAGAAACCTAAAACTGTGGAAGCAACCCAATATGGAAGCTGAGTTAAGCTGACATTCTAGATGGCTCCAGTGATATTCTCTGAGCTCCCTACTGGACCTGAGAATAACTTTAATTATTACCTCATATTGCGCTGCTTAGCCAGAGAATGTCCTTGAAGGGTCGCTGGACTCACTAAGAAATACTGCCAAAGCTCTGGCGTTTTCAATAGGAGATTATTACTCGTTCAATCAATAAGTACTTCCTGGCCTCGCTTACGTATAAGACATTGTGCTTGAGGCCATCAGAGTCACAGAGAAGATGACCCCTGACCTCATGGGCTTTCCATTCCAGGGCAGACTAGAAATCCCATCTGAAATCTGTCGATTCTAACCAGTAGATAAGCCTATAGAGAATATACCATAAGTAATACGATGACTCAATGAGTGAATAGTAGAAAGGAGGCACCCTGTGGACGGAAAGACACGTGTGGTGGGGGAGGTTGTGGAGGTTCTGGGATTAGACACGGCCTAACGGCTAGAGAGGCTCTCCTCAGTGAGAGGAGACCAGCCCAGTAACGGCCCAGCACGTAAGGGGCCCAGGAAAGCAGAAGGTAAAGCCATCCAGGTACAAAGAAGCTAAAGCAAGGATGCGGTTAGTTATAAGATGGGAGCGGTGTTTGCAACCGGACTGTAAAGAGCCCGAGCGGCAGGAGCTCCTACTGCACGGCCAGCAAGCGACGCCCTCCTGCACGGGTTACGGGCCGTCGGGCAGGAGGTCTGGACACTGTCCACGGGCCCTTTTGACATCAGCTCCGTTGTCCCGGGGATTCACAGGTGAGTGAGTCTAAGTCTCCTGCCTTAAGAAAAAGAAGATGAGAGTTTTGGGGTTTAGCCGCACGGGTCCATCCTCCGGCGCTCGCCCTGGCCTCTCAGACCAAGGTCCTGAGCAGCAGGCGTCGAAAGCGAGAAAAGCTGGAGAAAGTCCGAGCTGCCGGTGGCTGCAGAGACAGTGTTCCTGGCAGGGAGCTCTGCTCCCTCTGTGCCCGGGATAGAGCAGTGGGATTAGGTGGTTTGCTGGGCCCCAGGGCATGGTCTGCGGTGCTGTCAGCAGCCTTTCATCAAAACAGGACGGGGTAACACGCAGCGCAGGCTGGTTTATGGTCGGGATATTAAATGCAGGCTTACGTGTCCCTCTATTTAGACATGCACCCAGGCCTGCTGGATGACTGCCATTCCATTCAAGAGAGATAAAATAAAACCCTCCTGTGTAGCACGCTGGGACACACACCACGCATTCCTGGAAGCAAGAGGCAAGAAAGGGTTTGACCTCCAACCGCAAAAAGGAATCCAGCAGGGGAAACCACAGCGGCCTAACAGACCACAAAGAGAAATCCATTCTCAGGCTGTGGGAAGCTGGTCTTGGAGAAAAGCAGTAGGTGGGATTTTTTAACAAACCACACCAATTCTGAAGGATGGGAAGGCAAGATGAAGGGCCCTGGGGCACCACTTGTCTCATTCATATCAGCCTCATTGTCAAACTACAGTCTTGTCAAAATCCTGCCAATGGGAGACCGCGTAGTTTACTCTAACTTCACCCTCTGATTCGTCAGGCACTAGGTCCGACTCTCCTTCCCCAAGAGACTAAGCCAGCTGCAACCCAAAGGGGAGCAGATCACAGAAGTCAATGTCGTTGGTTGAGTGGCAACTGGCTAAATGGAGTTAGGAGGCCGTGGGAGATACACTGGTAAGCAGCTCGCCCTGGCAAAATCCACTGCTACGTAGGCCTTTGATTCAGTTCCGGCCCACCAGCCTCTCATTCCTCTCGGGGACCTCACCCTTGAGCGCTCCAGACAGACCCATATTTTTACTGGCCACTTCCTTCCTAAAGCTCTCATAGATTGCGAGACCTGAATGCTTCCTCCTTTGAACTCATTCGAATTCTGTGGTACTTTGGACATATCTCCTTTTATATAATAATTTACATACACAGCTCCCCCCGCCCAACCATGAGCTTGTGAACTCCTCTAGGCAGGCTATAATTTCCTCCCTCCGCCTATACCAACTGAAACATCAGATATATTCAATAAACTCTTATTGAAACTATATACGAACTGTAAAACCTCAATGGGTTTTGAATAAATGTTGCTGACTCATTCATTGACTTTTAGAGCAAAATGGCACACTTAAGCAAAACATAAATACCGCCCAAAAGGAAGATCATGATGCAAATAGGATCCCTGTTTGGCCAGATTCTGACTCTCTCTGAACAGATGACTAGGTATTAAAACCAGTGCTGTTCACATTTTAAAATAGGCAGCGGGCCTTGGAAAGTGACTACCAACCTTGAGGAAAAGAAGCAAATATCAAGATTCTGGCCTCCAATTTCCTTCATTCTCATCCCTTCCTCTTCTCTGCCCCGGTCTCTGACTTGCATAGCTTCGAGAGTTTCCAATTCTTCTCTAGATGATTTATAGTTTCCCAAACATACCCCACACATTCCCATCTCCAGGCCTCTGCTCAGGCCTTTGCTATGCCCGTGGAATATTTTTCCCCACAACTAACTGTCCACGTTTTAGTGATTCTTCAGTCCAACTACTTCATCCTTCATGGAATCTTCCTTGAAATCTCCTCCCAGAAGCAATTTCTCTTTTCCTGAACTCTCATAGCGTCTGGCACCCTTCTGGTGGCATTTAAGCAAGCATCCTGTATATTATAGTTTTCCATGCATGTCTTCTCTCTACAATTAAAATGGAAATTCCTGAGGGCGGAAACATTTATCTCCCATAGTATCGTGCATCGTTGTACCATGTCCTCCATGAGTATTTGTTGAGTGAAGGAATATATGAATGAATGGGGATATAGAGCAATAATAAATCATTGAATGAATGAGAGGCATTGTCAGTATTTCCCCCATTTAAGGAAAAGGAAAGTCACTCCAGAGATTTATCAGGTTGAACCTCTTGCCTTTACTTCGGTTAGTTATTATTAGTCTCACTTTAAACAGACCAGGCAACCGAGGACAACACAGACTAAAATGTAGAGTTATTTCTTCTTTACGATTCTGCTCAATATTGCTCTGTCTTTTCAATACCTGGCAGTGTATCATGGGATTATCTTCCCACAGATGGGGAAAGACCCCACATCTAGTTCTTTTTCTCCTCTTTTCATTAACCCCTTCTTAGTCCCATGCCTTGACAGAGTGTACAGATGAACACTTACAGTAGGATGATGTCCTGCGCATTATAAACAAGGCAGACCTGGTCTAAATAAGTCTAAAAAGCAAAAGTCTTTCAAGATGGAAAATGATTCTCAGATTAGAGTCTACAGACATGATGAGGAGGGAACCTAGATCAAAAGAAATAATCAAAACATTCGCCTTGGTAGATAGCTCCCTGGACTTGGTCCGGAGCCTATTCACGGAAATTCTCAGGGCAAGCTTAGTCTTCTTGCTGCTGGCAAACTGCCCCAGAAACATTCCAACCCACCCGGGGCCCCACCAGAGAAGCAGGCATCAAATCAAAAGAGCAGAGCACCTGCTGCTAGAGACAGAATGGACCTGACTTAGGAGTGGCCCCAGGCCCCAAGATGTGTGAAGATCACTAAAGAGGCTAATTCTGATATAACAGGAAGAGTTAAGTCCGCTCTTGGGAAATCTCTGGCAAATGTTCTTACGATTTGATTTGTGAGAACAGCAGCTCCTGATAAAAGCCCAGAAAGAAGATAGTGGCTGTTAACACCCTTGGCCTGAGGCCTGCAACTCTTTTGACAGTCTTTCTGCACATTAGACAAAAGTACACAGAAAATGTACAGGAGGTTAGAGCAGCAGCCCAGCACCAAGAGGTAGTTCTCACCTGGCCTTTTTAAGAGCTAAGAAAGGGTGCCTGGGTGGCTCAATCGGTTAAGAGTCTAACTCCTAATTTCAGTTCGGGTCATGATCTCAGGGTCACAAGATCAAATCCTGGGTCAGGCTTCATAGTGGGTGCCAACCTGCTTAAGATTCTCTCTCTCTCTCCCTCTGCCCCTCCCCCCTGCTCTAAAAAAGAGAGAGAGAGAGAGAGAGGAAGGAAAAGCTAAATGATTCGGTGCCTTTGTTTCTCTTGCTCTAAAATGCGTTTGATCC